TCCACTGCAGCTCCCACACTTCTGATAATGGAGTTTCCTAATTCACAGCTGTAAGGTGAAAATACACCTGCAAAGAGTGAATGTTTAGCTACGTCTGACTTTTCCAGCAGTTCTACAATGAATCCTCTGAGCCACTTCTACTCGCCTTTGAATCCCATCAGTAAAAAGAACTAGTTGCAATTTTTACATTATTTTTTATATCTGCCTTTAAATTCTTGAACAAAACTGTCCAAACTGTAAAAAGAATGAAGATCTTACCTGTAACTGAGATCTCGTGCGAATTACTGGGAACAGCCTTCATTATATACACGTAGAAATGCTGCTGTCTCTGAATTATCTGTGGTTTCAAAACTCCAGATGCTTTCGGTTTGTGTCCTTAAATACATTTTTACAATATCCTTATTTTCTCATGAGCCTCAGTTTTCAAATCAAAGTTTATTAAAATGTCAAAAAATAGAACTTACAGTTTCACATATGAAATAAGAGGGCATACATAGTACAGGCCTTTAGTAACAAAATAGGTGAATAATGCTTAACAAGCTAAAGCATGTAGGTGACATCACCGGTCATTAACATACAATCTCAGGTTAAGAAAATCTAAACACTAATGCAAACATGCTCATACATATCTATCAAAGGGGAATAGTTCAATCTAGCGTGACAGAAGTAGGCTGCCTCCATTGGGAGAGTGAACTAGATGCATCTCAGCAGCAGAGACTGGTGCAGACTCCTCTAGTATCCACGTACTGGAGGAAACGTAAGATGAACCAAAACATTTATGGAGTAATATGTTGTTTCCTTTTTGAAGCCTCATAAATCTGAAGAGCACAATTCAAGGGCCCATCTGGGAACCTGACTTGTTGCTGAAAGATAAAACAGCAACTGAGGCAAAGGCTCCTGCTGGAGAAGTCCTTGTTCTGTTCTATTTGCCAGGGTTTGTTGCTCAGTTCTGAGGCGAGTCTCCTTTTCTCAGATCAGTGACTGCCTGATTTCTAGCAATTATCAGAAAGGAGCATATGAAAGATTTAATACTCTGAGTCCTTAATTGCCCTTTCTGTTAAAAATTAAATATTTGATTCATCTGAATATTCAAGAAAGACAACATAAATACAAAAGCATGTACATAATAAAAAACATATACTGAATTTCTTAACCATACCGCTCAATCAACTACTATATAGTGACTAATTATTTCTCATTCTAGCTTACCAGCTTATTTGTGAAATTCCATTCCTCCTACCTATCCAGTACCTTGGAGAACTAGGAAAGCTCACAGATGTTTTGTGATATGGCTGAAGTCCTTCACTGAGCTGTGTCTTCTTGCTGCTTGTGCTTTTCCAGTTAGTAAGTAGCACAAGGCAGGGATGTCAATACTTGCTGCTTGAGATGGAGTTCTGAATATTCTTCACCCTGCAAAGGAGTCCTCTGCATGGTTCAAACTATGCTGATCCTTAAGGGGAGAGGAAACTAATTTGTTTAACTCTTCCTCAAAGGCTACCCCCAGCCTTTTCATGGCATATATGGGTAGCCAGAGCTTTGGGGAAATCTGTTATGATCACATTTCTCCATCTTTGTACATACGCATGCTGATTCCTGCCGATTAAATCAAATGGACAGCACTGGATTACTTCTAAGACAAGCTTAACACAAAATACAAACTGCAATTCAGTTCAATACGTTAATAATAATTAAAAAAAAACAAAAAATCACCACAGTCATTTAAAACCACAAGGCCATCAATATCATCTGCCAGCAGCCAGGCCCTTGTGTATGGCTACACCAATTAAAAAGAGTCAAAGTTCCTGCTAGTGACTCTCTACTAGTAACAAAAATGTATGAAATCCTGGTAAAACTAGCCAAGACTACCATTAAATGAGAAGATATTCCAGTACAGATGTGTAATCTAAGCTAGGGCATGGTTGATTGCATACATTTGTGCTACATATCAAAGCTACTTTAATAAAGTTTTAGAAAAAAGTAAAACCAAGAAGAAGCCACGTGCACCTCTGGGGCATGGCCACCTACAGTAATCTACAGCCGAGTGCTACCTCTTCCCTTTCGTTAGTGTCCACATGAATGGCATGATTAAGCACGTTTCAGATCTGACGGGGGAATTAGCTTTCATCTGTACAATCCACGCCAACTGTGCAACATAAAAGGAAACTCAGCCGTAACCTCCCTTGGATCACACCCCTTCCCCAACCTTTATCTTTTCATTTGTTGCATGGTACAGGACTTTCCATTTGACTTTATAAGGTAACTTTAGAAACCATAAAGCTTTTATGAATTAGTGAGAAGGCAAACAAAGGGGAGGAGAGGAAATTAATACTTTAGTGGAGATAATCTTCTCAATTTTATCTAACTGTACTGCTAGACCAGCTTACATTTTCCATTTGAAGTCATTTTACTTAAGGGATGATGAGGCGCGATTAACTAAAGTTTTTATGCATCATCTGAATCCTGTTTTTCAAAAGGCATCTATTAATAACCGTTAGCAATGAATTATCCTTTCTCAAGCAGAAGATCTAAATCTGGTTCCTAGCGGAAATCCAGGTCCAATTCTTAGTTTGGCTGAGGGAGGCGATTCTGTGTGCAAACTTCGTATTAAAGTCAGGGTTTATTCCAGCTTCTAGCCTCTGGGTCAGGCCGGGTCCCTGCACACACCGTCACGTGTAATGAACTCTCTGACACTGGAATTTAAGATGTCATTTTTGTTGCTAATGCACAAGGCACCACAGAGTCCGACTTCCTCCACAATTATGTGGACAATGAAAACAATTTGTTCTCTAAAATAAGCAAATACGACTTAAAGACACTTAGGGAGGAAACCTGGGGCCATTTTACATAGCAGATTTTTTTCCCTCTCTCACTAAAACAGCAAGTCAAATACCTCCACGGAAGTCGGGATAAATTTTTGTTTGCAACTATGTTAGAAACCTGTATCTGAAAGTATATGCCAAATCAACCCACAATGACAGACAGACCTACTTTTTAAGTGGCTAGAAAATACTATTTTATACAGATGCTTTTATTGCACAAGTCCATGCAATCAGAGATTTAACTAAAATCAGACATATTGCAAAAACTAAAAAAAAAAAAAAAAATTAAAAATCCTAGAAAACCTCCAGCGCTATGATACAAGCCGTGTTGCACAGTGAAAGCTCCAGTCAAAATTCTGCAAGAGGATATTCAAAAGCGCCTGTATCATTCACAGGCACAGCACAACCACCACTGAAAGTCTTCCTCAGAATTTAAATTTCATATACAAAAAGTAATTTCTCGTTTCTGGAAGAAAACTCTCCTCTAAAGCATCCTTTCATTTGCCTGGTAAAACAAACACCAGCAACGAGCCTCTCGGATCATCTGTTCCTGTGTCCACTGAACAAAGGGCGCCTTGGACCCTGTCTTGCCGATGCCTCAGGTACCAAAAGCGGTGGTTTTTTGCAAACCGAGTGGTGGGGTTGATAAACAGAGTGGTCTCAAAGGAACAAGCGCATCGGGAAAGTCTCTCTACAAATAGGCAGGTACATGGAAATTCCTGGTAAGTGTTTGAAATGCTATTACAAGTCGGTACCCCATTATGGGACCAGGGTGCTCTGAAGCTCAACCCGGCACGCAGGAAAACTTCCACTGAACTCGGTGGGGCCGCTTGCGTTCGCATCTGGGAGCACAAAAGTTTGCAGGACTAAAGCCTTAGCACAAACCATTGCAAAGTCCATCCGAGTCTGTCCTTCCCAGAGCCAGGTCTAGCTTGTGTGTTTGTCTTTCGTATATGAAAAAAAAAAAAGAAAAGATTTCCATAGGAAACTGATTATCACTTTCTCCCCTCCCCCTTCTAATATTTTGGCACAAATGCGTATGATATTCAATGCAGATATAAAGAAACAGATAATTGGATAGCACTGACAAAGTTATGAGACTTATTTGGCAAATTTGAACCATAAAAACAAGTGCTAAGGGTTTTTTCCAGTTGTGGAAGTTGTTTGCCATGACAATTGCTGCAGGGAAAAAAATATTAAACAGTCTGGAGCATGTATGTTTAAAATGAACATTTTATAATACAAGTAAATACACACTCTCCCAATTTCTCCAGGCAAAAACACATCTCAGAGAATTTTAATCAGCTGAAATAAGTTTTAAACAGAGGGTTTGTGTGTCTGAAATGTCCTGGTTCATGCGCAGTCACATGTGACAGCATGGGATAACCTATTAAATTGCATATTCTGAAAATGGCAGCATGGGCCTGTTCACTTCTATCACTGGAGCAGACCTGGACACTAAGCCCCTAAGACTTCAGAAGTGGCAGATACCATTCAACATACCAAGAAAATAGAATACAAACTTTCTGTAGTTAATGCAAATAGACTGCACAATAACGAAGGTTTAACTTATCCAGCCAGAGCTCCCCACATGACAAATGTCCGTCTGTGAGCAGCTCAAGTCAAAAGTCGCTGCAGCAGTATCAGAAGGAGCCTTAAGTTTGGCCTTTTGCTTCATGTCAATCCGGCCTGAGACCGTCAGGGTATCAGCTGCATCCCTCAGGCATGAAGCAAGGCTCTGCCTCCTTGTTAGTAGTCCAGCGTGGGAAATTCATTCCTTTTGGGAACATTACTGGGGGAATTAGTTCTTGTGTGTGCTTTAAATGCTTCCTTTTCCCCCTACTGCTGCAATCCCAGGGAGGACAGGTGTGAATCAGGTGGATGGAGACAGGAATGCATGAGCAAGAGTCATCCCAAAGTCCCACGGTATCTGGCTTTTCAGAGGTGCTGCATGACATGAGCCTGGAGTCGTGTGAGGCAAATGGACAGTTTCCTCCGAGCCGCCAGTGGCTCCTGCGTGCTCACAACAGCACGGAGTGAGCGGCCAGACAGGCACGACATGGCTGGAGGCAGAGCACTGGCTTCTCTCCGCTGAAACAAAGTCCATTTTTTTTATCATGATAAACTTCAGCTTCAAATTCTAACTGCAATGGCCCATAGCATCGTAACCAAAGTGCTAACAGTTTCAGTGGAAGTGGCTTAAATGGGTATTTAGTTTAAAAAACAAAACAAAACAAAGAAAACCCACTTTTTTTTTTTAAGCAGATTTTTTTTCTCATCACTTCAATAACTGGGAATTTGTTTGCTATGCAGTATGCATTTTGCTAAGAGTTAAGCCAATTCCATTTTCCAGAGTCTTTGTGCCCCCCACCCACCCCAGGAGATGTTTCCTTAGGAGACACTGGAACAACGAATACTTGGGGAGCCCATTTGTGTAAGGACCTTGTCCAGCCACTGCAAAGGACCATTAAGATGCAGTTCAATCCAGCAGGGAGTACTGGTCACAGTCTGCCGCCTACAAGAAAGAAGGGGTTGGGGGGGAGAGAAGAAAAAAAAGAACATAAATGTGACTTACAAAACTATACAAATGTGAAAAGGTTTTACAGCTACTGAAGCATTCTTTCCTGCTTAGACAATAGTCTTCCATGTGGGGCTAAAGGAATGTCTCTCTCCTCTATAACACGCTTTTGGCCTATGCTGCCAACTCCTTTTAAAAACCCTACCTTTTCTCTTTACATTTCTTATGATCCCAAAGGAGCAACTCACCATATAACCTATTTACTACTGAAAACAGGCAGCATCTGATTCCCTGAAGAGAAAGGAAGGTGATTATCTAACCAAAATTCTTCAGTTTTATTTTGTAGACCCTGCCTCTCCTAATCAGATAGCAACGTAAGCAGTTTACCAAATATGTTAAATTTTTCTAAGACAAGGATATTCTCTTTTTACCATATCTTTAGGTTTTAGCAGAACGTGGAAGCGATGGAGAGAGATCACCACTCAGCCATTCAGACTCCCTCCTGCAGTCCCGCGGAGCCCTCTCCCTTGTGCGGCCAGAGCTGCCAGAGCATCCTTTTTGCACAGCTCGGGAGGATGCGCTTTGAACCCTACACTACACATGCTGTGTATGGGGCACTCCATCAGATTTGCATTTGATCAGCTGCCTCAAAAGCAGCAGAAATGCTGCAGGGTGTAAAAAAGTTGCAAAACCCATCTGAACAGCAGAAACATGGTATTAAACCATACGTTTTCAAATCCCTCAAGAGTTGGCGGCTGTGGCCAGAGAGTAGAGGGGGATGCCCTGCTGGGTCAGCGCACACCATGCTTTTACTTTCCCCTGCCACCTTCCCCCTCTCCTATCTGCTTCTCTTATTCTCCCTGAGGCCAGACCCCATGGAGCGTCTCCAGATGGTAAGGCAGGAAGAGATGGGGAGGAAAGGAAGGGAAGGGAGGCCAAGGCACAGGGCAAGGGGCTCTCCCTCCTCTGCCGAGGGGTGGCCTAAGTCTTGTTCCAGGCAGAGAGGCAGGGACAGCTGCTGTGGAGGAGGAGGATTACGAAGAGAGGGAAATAGCCTGGAAACAGCCTTGTTTTACACCCTCATTTCCCACAGAAGCTGTCCTTGGAATCTGTTTGTGGGAGGGAGAAGCCGAAGTCTGTGGGGCCCAGGGAGAAAGCGCTGCTGAAAAGGGGACCCCCTGCTTTGTGGGGCTGCCCCGCTTCACGGCAGGGCAGAGGAGCGGGGCTCTGGGGTACGGCTCTGCAAGGCTTTGGCCAAGGGCTGTAACCCTTTCTGTTGATGCATCTGTATCTCTCATCGTGTGAACTGAAAATGGAAGCAGCTCCCCGAAGGCACCCCACCCATTCCCAGCTCAGACGCGGCTGACCGGAGCTAGCCAGGCGATGCCCCAAGAGTGGGTGTATGGGCAGGGCTTGTCCTATACAGCGACTTAATGGCAAGTGTTTTGCGTTAAAGGGTGAGCTGTTTGGGCAGGAGGACTGCAGGACAGGGACAGCAGAGCACCTCTCGCTCTGTCGGCTTCAATGAAGCATACAAACCTCTCAGGTCACAGGAAAAACTAGTCTCCCTTAACTTAACAAAGAGCATTCCCCTTTGCTGCCTGAAACCAGCTTTTACGCTGAGCAGTCCAACAACTGTCCCGGCGACACTGTACAGAAACCCACTACCCGTGGGGCTGCCGCACTTCTGCCCTCTGCAAATCTATCATGGCAAACTTCATTCTGCCTCCCCACCTAGACGACCAACACACTGGCTCCAAGCTTTCAGAAAGGCAAACCCTCAAAACTCTCCATGCCTTCAGCTTGCTCCACCGGGCTCTTGCTGGACAGAGGAGAACCTCTGCATCACAGACTGCTTATGCAATTGGCTTCTCCCCCCTTCCCTCCACCAAATCCCTGGCACACAAGAGCACTAAACACCCCACCAATTAGACTGCTCAAAAGGCTAAGCAGCTAAACTAGAAATCACTGGAACAGTGCTCTGGATGCAGCTCCCACAGTAACATTTTCATATATGAATCAGTTCAACAAATAAACGTGCTCTGACAAAGGCAATCAGATGTAGTATTTTGTGGCAAGGAAATGAAGGAGCAAGAGAGCAGCTTCGGCGTGGTCAGCGTGAGCGTAGGATTTCACTGACTACAATACTCTGATGAGATAGTTGACTTTCCGTAAGTCATGCTCATCTGGATTTCATTATGAGCCATGGCTGCGAGCCAGGGCTGAAATGCTCTGGCCCGGGTGCAGGACAATTTCAAAACAAAATGGACTCCAAACATCTGGAGAAATGAAGAAAGTGGGAGAGTAATGTGCAGAGCCCAGGCTCCAGCTGATACTATGGCATCTCCCCCGTCTGCTGCAGGCAGCTGTGCAAGGGGAGCATCGGCAGACAGCCTTGCTGCTCCGGGAGGCAGGGACTGCCCCCAGATTTTCAAATAAGGCCACAGATTTAAAGGGTACACAGTTAAGTAAGTATTTCAAAATGACATTTGGCTTAAATCCTTGCCAGCTTTCTCTCTCATAAAACGACATTCATTTTCCAATGAATTTCGTCTCCCCTACTTGTACTATTAAACGCTGATTTCACTCCCTTTGCTACTTTGGGACATTTGCTTGGTAATGCAGCGGAGCGACAGCAACACAAGCTATGGAGTACTCCATCCCTCACACTGTCACCATTGTCCCCATGTTGTCAGAATAACCATATCATTGATTCCAAACACCAGACCCTACTGCATCTCCTTTTTTACCTTCAATATTCAGTGGGAAAAATAGTAACCCTGTTTCTCCCACTGCCTCCGGTTACATTTAAGCAACTGTCCTATGACAAGCACTAAGGAAAGGATGAGGAGATTTAACTGTAATTTTGCAGCAACTCTAACAGTTCTTCCAAATGTAAATTTTCAAGCTGATGTGCTTTTATTTTAATCCCATTAGTCCCTGATAAAAGAAGCATCAAACCCAACCCATATCTATTAGGAAGCACTCACACTGATCATATCCTGATAACAGTGTAGTCATAAAGACACTCAAACTATCAAATATACATCTAATTTTAAGAAAAAAAAAAAAGTAATAGTTCCTACACAGGCCATCTGGAATTATCTACTGTGCTTCAGGTAAAGCTCTTGGGTCGTACAACACTGTGACCAAATGTACATGGTCTTCCATGTATATCACATGATGTATGTTTTACACAAGTAGGATGGGAAAAACAAGAGACAAGATTGACACATTCTCAACAACTACAACCTATCTGCATTACTAAAGAGACACTGTGCTAATTCCCCCCATCTTAAAAGCTGAGTAAAGAAGCTTTGCAGAACACTATCCTAGGCTGTGAAACACAGGAGTGGCAACGGCAAGCACAAGCAAAGTTTCATTTGAAAGGCCTGACCTGTATTCTGCTCCCCATCCCTTGACAAAGCTCATTCGAATTGTGCACATTCTGGTCAGCTGATACACAGCTTCGAAGCCCTGATTTACAGACTGAGCCAAGAGAGCGGCAAATTCCTGGTTGTTAAAAATCTTCAAGTTACATCCTGTGAAAAAAGAACATGACAAGAACAAGGCATTAGCTTAACCAGATTAAGAAATCCATTTCTTTCTGAGGATGGAAAGAAACTCAATGCTGCTTTCCCATGCCCTCAGATCATGTGATACTATACACAGATTGTTTAAACACAACATTTCAGAAAAGGAATCAAGGTTGCCACATTTCCACAGCTCATATGCTGAAAAGGAAGAAAACCATGTTACAAGACAGAGAACGATGGATGCTTGTGCCCACACAGCAGATTGTGATCTACGAGACCAGACTTGGGTACTGACATGGAACCTCAGGGTTAAAAAAGCTGGTAGCAGAGCTGCTTCTACTATAACCGTCTCTTAAATGTAACTATCATGCACCAAACAATTTTCCTTTAAAACTGGAGTTTTTCCCCAACTTAGTTTAGTCCCAGCTGAAAGACTGGGAACAATTTATTCAACTGTTTTTAGGTGATAAAGGTGATATATAACAACATTCTTCCTAGTTTAACTAACTAACTAACTACACAACTCTCAAAAAAAGTGTTGCTGTGCCTGCTTTCTCCCAGATAACCAGAAACAAGTTAAACTCTGAAACTTGGCACACGACTAATGCTCATTTGGGATTACATATGAGCCAAGTCTGAAAAACAACCATTTGGACTGTGATGAATTGTATTTTTCTAAAATCACTTTCTGAGCCTACTCTCTTGGGCTGGACTCATACTGTCATCTGTTTTGGGTCGAACTGCATATAGCAAAGCGTAACCGCATGCAACAGCTCAGCAGCTGCAGAAACAACTGCCCATTTTTGTGACCATAAAAGAGCACAGCCCAAGAGCCATGTATCTTGCAGAGAGTTTGAAGGGAAGCTGTGTCAGGCATATTGCAGTCTAAGGGGGGGAAAATAAGAAGGGTAAGAGCATCAGGGCCAGGCTGAGCACAGAGAAAGAACTATCACAAGGAAAGCAAAAAACTTGATTGGGATCAGACTGCCAAGCTGTTCAGACTTCAGGACTGGATGGGAACAGGTCTCTCCGCGACTGTGCCTGGGAGGAGTGGGTACGACTTGATCTTGTCAACAAGGGAATGAAGAAACTGCTTCAAACCCAGCAAAGATTTGAAGATGAGGCTGAGAAGGCGGCCAAAGACTGTGGCAAAAGTGGGGAGAGCTGGAGTCCAAAAAATGCGCCTTAGATGAATCTACAGCGGAAATGTGGGTTGTTTATGTCTTCAGATGTTGACTCCAGCCGGGGTGGACTCTTGTGATGTGGCTGGAGAATTAAGTCATGTTTGCAACACTGGCAGCTGCGTCCTAAGCATCTGAGAAAGGAAACCCATTAAGATGGGCCAGAGCTTGCAGTGTATGGATCTCTTCTCAAAAGAAAGACAATCTTTATTCAAATATTTGTAAACAAAAAAGTTCATTTTTTAAATATAGACATACTTTTAGCTGTAAAAAAATCAGCTTTTGTAAGCTGAGCTAAATAACTAAATTCCCTTTTGAATGGCGTCCTCTCATCCTAGCTCTTTTGCATGTATCTTACAAAAAAGTATTTTCTTCCTAGATAGATGCAATAAATTCTCCTGTAACCTTTCAGCATACTTTAGACACACGTTTGCTGTAACCAGAACAACAAGGTGCCTGCAAATGCGATTTCCCTAGAATAAAACTAATTCACAAAGGTGTGTGGGGGGAAGTCTTATTGCAGAACAGAAAAAAGTAACAATTTAAGTCTATTATGGGTGAATCTAAATTAAGAAAAATTTCTTACCTTATATTCTTTTACTTAAAGGTACAAACAAAATTATAAACATGACTATCAGGTAATTACAATACAATAATGGACTGATAAAACACCACACCGAAAAAGTGGCAGATTCTGCTCTTAGTTCTGCTTAGATACTTAAGTACTGTTTCTTCCTACTTGTATGAATGTAGTGCAGATAATTGTTGGAACATACACAGTAGCCTCTTTTATCAGTACCTTCATCCTATATGCTATACAAAAAATGCCCTGCTCAAGTTGTCAAGTTGCTTATAATAGGGCTCAAGTTTCTGATTATTGTCAAGAACGGAGGTCAGCAAATCCATGCCTACCTTGACAAAGAGCTTGCTTTCCATAGCAAGTCCCCGTTTGCAAAAAGTGAAGCCTGTGCAGGATCACAGATAAGGTATACTTCCTTACCTGGTGGAATCTTGCAAACTGTTGCTGGGTGCCAGCCGTAACGTTGGTTGCAGTTGGGAGACTGGACAAAAATGGCACTGTCACTAAGGCACTCGGCAAACACCTCACCGCCAATGTAGTAGAGTCTTACTCCTCTTCCTAGGAAACACATGGCACAGTTTTAGTTTAGCTTAGAACAATCATCTGCAAAATCTGCAAGAGCTGGTAGAGACGTAGACAACCTCTGCATGAGACAGCTCTCAAAAAGCAGCTAAACTATGAACGATAGAAAATGAAAACCACCTCTTTTGGCCACTGAGTAATCCCATTAGGGAGCAATAAATTTGCTCTGTGAGCAAGTTAAGCTGAGGAAGGCAGAAAGACCAATTTATAAAGTCAGGATTGCACTCTCCAGCCCCATTGTCAATCACAGCCTGGACTGCATAAACTTACCACCTCACAGCCTGCTTACTCCGAACATAGATGTCTCTGATATTTTCCATATGAATGTTCTATCAGTTAACATACGGTTTTCAGCCTTTTCTGAAAGTCAGCGCAGCTGGATACAACTGTTCGTTTATTTACTTAGTGATTCGGAATGAAATTATACAACGTTTTCAAATCATTGCCTTTTGCTTGAGATTACATTGTATACAAGGACAAACATACATTTCCCATAGGAGTTCACACAAATTATTAAAATCTTAGTTAATAAAGAAACAAATTTCAGGAATACGTCTTTGTTGCTCAAATAAACATTTGCTGTGGTCTTACATTTCTATTTGAATATCTTGCTTTCATTCTTCCATAAAGCATAAGGAGCCTACTGAATTTAAAGACTGATTTCTGAATCTTGATTTTTTTGGGGGGGTTGGGTTTTTTTTGGTGCTAGAAATCATATTAGAAAACAAGTAAGGAAAGATCCTCCTGTATGAAGTTTACTGTTCAGCAAAGGGTATAAAGGGGAGCAAAATCAGGACAAAAAGCAGGTTCATTTTTGATAGAAGTCAGCAGAAAACACAGCAAAGTATAAGCAATTTGCCTTTTATTAAAATGGCATAAATCTGGGATATTCTATTTAGCGCAAGTTTAACTGAAAACAAAATTGAATGTTACCTTGCAGTATAAGCAGGAAAAGTGGAAATTGAGATGAAAATCAAAGAACTAAGCTTCCATTTATAAAAGAACAGTCAGTTAGAAAATAAAATAGTGCAGAAGGGATCAGGAATACACAGGATTATCACTAACATCCATCCAAATATAGTTCAGAAGAGTGCATATAAAAGTTTAAATTCTGTCTCTCTCTATTACATGCAGTTTTAGTGTTCCTCAGTGCATTTTTTTATTATACTTTATGAAAAATACAATTAATCTTTATGGAAGATTAGCCTGCTAAAACACCATGGATATTCAAACATCGCAGTGTTCTAAAACTGACCAAGCTGCATGCCGATTAGGTAAATAAAAAGCTTTACATGCAGGTCTCCACCTTCCACCTTGAAAGACACTGACTAAAACCAGGAAATAGAAATTACCAATGTGTCGTCTTGTGAGTTCCACTGCCGCATTTCTATTCACGTTAGACAGTAAACCAAGGCAGAAGCGTTCAGAATTAGATGGGTCAGTGAAACCATCCACGGTCATAGAAGGCTGAGAGGCATGGAAAGTCTCTCCCACTCGCTGGTTGAGTTCATAGTAGGATATCGAGCACCAGAAAGCTGGCTCGCAGTAGGTAACAGGCTGCAGGTCTGCACAAAATAAAAAGCAAAATGAATCACAGGCCCTCAGAAGAGGGGGGGTGGGTGGGTGAAAAAAAGCGACTGTTTTGAAACATTGTTCTGCTTCATTCCTTGGGCTCACTTTAACCATCAAACTTTAATTACTTGACAGATTTTAATGGACCGCAGCTAGAAAGTTACATCACCCTTGAAGCTTTTGGCACATGGAACAATCACAAATAGTCAAAGATATTAGTCACTTAGCAAGTGGGGTGTCACTTAACTATCTTCATACTTGGAGAAAATTTACTATGAAATGGGATCACTTTTAGGTAGCCAGTACCCTAAAAAGAGAAAAGAAAAGGAGAGAAGAGGAAGAAACAGAAAACCTTAGAAAGAGCAGACCACAAACCTGCTTTCAGAAACACAGATCTCCAGAACCCTAATGCTGTGCATTTAGACCAAGTAGCCAGCAAGTCCAGTTTTCGTTCTTACTGACTCTGTTATGATCTCTCTGGCACTGATGAAACCAGTGGAGTTGTCTGCAATACGCACCAAATTGTATGTAATACTGGCATCAAAGTAATTTAAAAATTAGATCCTTTCTTCCAGTCCATTTGATCTCAATTTTTCAAAGAAAATCCCCAGTAGATGATGACAGATCTCTTTTATTGGGGTTATGGTTTGACTCGGCCTGTGGACCGAAGCAAAAGGACCAAAGTTCATGAGCAGACTGAGGCTGAGGTAGTCTCAGAAGACAATACTTCATACGCGTGAAAGGTGGGACATTCAAATGGCATCGAATGATTTAACTGCTCCCACTGAAGCCAATGAGATTTCAGCAAAGGAAAGCTCAAGTCAAATGTTCTTGAAAATACTGCACTAGATGGTGCCCAGTCCTGCTATAAGCCAAGAATCTGCTGAGCAGAGGAAGTGGAAAGCAGGCTAAGCTAATTGGTAAGTGCTCTATTCTCCACATTCAATGCAAGAAATAAAAGCAAGAGAAGAATTCCCTCCAGTCCTCCCCTCAATTTATCACTTCATCCCTATTCAAATGGTGCTTAAAAGCTGAAGAGAACAGCTTCCCATCTGGCCAAAGAGTTAACATCAAGCAGCAAAACCCAGCTTTTTCCACAGGCTTTCCCATCTGTTGTTCCTGCAAGGCTTGGGCAATTCTGGGGCTTAAGAGATCAGCTCCAAAAAATCAAAGCTAGTTTTTACCATCCCAGCCTCCTCCCACACTGAAGAGTGTGTCTCTACAGAGGTTTGAAAGTCATTTCTCATCTGGTACCTGCTGTTACTAACTTTTAGAAATAGGTTGAAGCAGCCTGGCTTCAGCCAAAAGACATGCTGGTTTCCTCTTCATTACTGTGGTGTGTGAGTTCCCAAAGCAGCTAATAATCAGAAAAAACCTTTGGTTTCTGCTTTGTTACAAGCTTTGCTGACAGCAAATAAGGAATTGAAAAAAAGTGCATCTGGGGAACTCTGTAATCCTGAGCAAATCTTCAAAGTCTATGAATTTTGGAGCCTATACCCATTCCCAGCTTCTTTTCACAGTCTCTTTCCTTAATTACATCATCAGAAAGAAAAATGCTCTATCACAAGCAAAGCCTGATGTTCCTGCTCTCCTCCACACATTACATCCACAAACGAAAAAGCGTATCTTCCTCTTACGGAAAAGGACATAATGTTCAAAGCGAAAGCTAACAGAGGGCAGCTCAATAGAACAGGGGTTGCTACACCAATTTAAGAGATCTGGTAAGCATACCTGCAGTTTCTTCACATTTTAAACAATTTCATAGCTTAAAGCAAGCCCCTCTCCTGACCTGCACAGATAATATTGAACACATCCAGGAGTCACACAAGTTTACTGTCTCTGCCTTTTTCTCTTGTTTGACATATTTGGTTGTCCCACTGGAAACTGCCACATCAGGCACATTTCTCCAATACCAGCCTCCTTTCATCAATTAGCAGCTGTGGCCTGCAGCAGTAATCTGTACGCATCGTAACTGACTCTGGGCTTCACATGACTCCAGTGCAATTTGTATAGACGTACAGCAAATACCAGCACTAATCAGAGTCTCTTAAGGTGTGTCCACCCACTCAAGGAAACAGATTGTGTTCCACATGACTGTGCTCTTATTCCACAGCAAGTGCCTTTCTAATTGAAAAGCTGCTCAGGTTTTCAGAACAATCTGATCAGAAAAATCAAATCAACTTTTGTTGATCTTTAAGTAATGTCCGCAGATTGGTACTATTCAAGTTATAAAAACACTGAAGCCTGTATTGCTCTCTATGGTTTCGTGGTCCTTTCCTTCAGAAACCACCTCCGCTTGGTTGTGACTCAAGGGAAATGTGGATTCACCACTGAAGGATGTACGGAAATTTTATTTCCAGCTTATTTGCAACTTGAGGAAAGACACAAACCAACAAATCCTACCTTGAAGAAAAACTTGTCTCTAAAAAACGCAACCAAGCCTTATAGATGCTGCTTTCTCCTATGATTTGTGGTCTTAGGCTTCAGCTTAAGCTGTCATGGGATGGGCGCATTACCTCTTGTCTTAGAGCTGTCCTGAATATTCATTTTCAATTTATGGATTTACTGTTTGGGGAACACTAAGAGAATGTAGCTCTGCTAAAGCCAAAGAATCCTGAGGGGGTACACAATCAGCTAAAACACGATACAGTAAAAGCAAGCAAATGCTGCCTGAATCGTCTCCATACAAGTTCAACCGTGACTCACTACAGCTTTGCTTTCACAAGTGTACACTGAGTATTGGGATGCTATCCATATTGCATCTTCCCTGCAAGATTAAAGTACTATCTGTTCAGCTGCGGAGGAAAAGAAATCTGCTGGCTGCTTTGCACACTTTACAATGT